TTCTAGAGGGGTTGGCGCCTCCCTCCCCGATCCACGATCCGCGTTCGCTGGATGCCCGGGCTGTTTCTCGTATCTCTTCAATGAAACCAACCGGTTCTGATGGCAACGGCCACACCGCCAAACGCCATCGCTCACTGCTGCACTCCCCGCTGCGACATGATCACCTGCAGCATCTACGGGATACCACCTTACGCTGCTCTTGCCCGATTTCCGGTAGTTACAATTTTCGCAAACGTGAAACTCTGCCTTCCTTTCTTCCTCGACGAAAAAATGTAGGAAGCAGTCTGGGCGTTGGCAGAGGCAGTCCTTGCCGGGCATGAACTCTCGCACGAGAGCAGGAGGCAGGAGTTTCTCTCCTTGTGTCCACGCGGCCACGAAGGTAACCAATCGCCCTAGCCGGTCCCCGCGGAGGTGCGTGAAACCTTCATCGTTCGGAGACCTGTGGCATGCCGAACATAGCTTGTTGTCGGCCGAGTGCACTACACTCCCGGGGCATTCGCTACACTCGATGCTGGGGTTGTGTGTAACCCATCCGCATTCCATGTACGCTCGCACGCCTTTTTTCGCTTTTTACCGGTTGGTTGGCCAACAGATAGCACCGCTGGGTTAGAAAGTCTCCTACCCGCATTCCGCTTGCCTGGCTGATAACCGGCTTGTCTTGGGTACCCGCCGTGACTCCTACGCCGAGAACCAACGGGGTGATTTCCCCCGGCCTCTGATTTTCGCCTTTCGTCTTCGTCAATCGCGCGACCTTTACGGGGCTGTGCCTCCCTCCTCGCCTCGCTCTGCTGCCTGTAGTAATCCTCCGCGAGCTTGCCCTCAAGGTTGGGTAGGCCACCAGCCGTATTAGTAACAGAAGGCCTCCTCCTCCTGCGTTTTCTGCCCGACCGGGTCTTTCCTCCCGTCCGACCGACACGTGCACCGGAATCTCCCGCGTCGCGCTTTGTCCCGGCGATGGGGGTGCTCACCTCGGTGGTTAGGTGGCCCTCTCTCCTACTCCCGCCTCCTGTGTTGTCGACGACGGGAGTACGCGGGGTTAGCGTGCCTTCCGTAAGCTGGCGAAGGGATATTGGCTGTGTACCCCCGCTTCCAGGTGTCCCAGAGCTCCCAGGCTGGTTACGAGGCGTAGCCGGTCGACCTATGGGGCTGTTAACCCCACGAGCCTGTTTGCCCCGCCTACCTCTCCTACGGGTCATCTGGCAGCAGCTCGATCTATGCCGACCGTTATTCTATCCATTAAATACCTGAACAGGGTATTAAGCAACAAATACAGAATCCTAAGTGACACGTAGAGCTTACGCTGTGCACACATATCTTTGATCTGGACTCTTCGTCGTCTCTTGAAAGCCATGCATAAGATCTGCTGCTCTGTACGGGCATGCCTATGCAACTGTCGAACTCCGTAGTACATATTACTGATTCGGTAATGCAGCGGCGTTTAACTCTATGTGCACGGTCTGGAGTGTACGTAGCTGTGCGTCCCGGGTCATGCTTGGCTCGTCATATTTCTTGGGGTGGGGATGGTGTATCCAGTGGATGTACATGCGCAACATGCAAGAGAGGATACTATCGGACCCCCGCTCTTGAAAGTCATGCGTAAGATCTGCTGCTCTGCACGGGCATGCCTGTGCAACTGTCGAAATACGTAGAACGTATTACTGATTCGGTAATGCAGCGGCGTTTAACTCTATGTGCACGGTCTGGAGTGTACGTAGCTGTGCGTCCCGGGTCATGCTTGGCTCGTCATATTTCTTGGGGTGGGGATGGTGTATCCAGTGGATGTACATGCGCAACATGCAAGAGAGGATACTATCGGACCCCCGCGTGGGCTCTCCTGAAATTTGAATTTTGAACACATCATGCTTATCCCCTGCAACACCGAATCGCCCCAAACCTTTTGCATTGGGTGGCAATGGAACCTAGGAGCATGGCGGCAGCATTGTTAGTCTGCAAAACGCCAACCTCGCGCAGAGGTCGGTTCGCGTGTGAAGCTCCCTCCCTGATCTTGGAGCTGTTGCAGTGTGGTACGCGCCTGCTGCAGTCCGACTTTCTCGCCCTACCATGCATGTCTGGACGT